ATCAAGGTGTATATATACAGAGGGTGAGACCAGGTCCATTGTGGACCTGGTCTCTCCCTCCACCTCACCAAAATTTCCATTCAACAAAATGGTAGAAAAGTTCACTTACTTTGAGGGGTTATGTAGAAGGCCCTGGATGATGATGATGATGATGATGATGGGATTTAGAATGGGGTGGAGGAGAAGGAAGAAGAGAAGGCATTGGGGGTGGAGAAGTCACCCCATGGTGCCATTTCACCCATAAAATTTTAGCTCTGGTTTAATTCAAGATTATTTTTTTTAAATCAACTGCACTGCATTATATATTGTCAATATATAAAATATATTTCAAAATGACCAATAATTTGCTTGGAAACACAGAAAAAAAGCGTTTTAGTTGAAGAGTCTCAAGCAAGATGTTACCTCCAGTGAAAACAGAGAGACTGACGCCTGTTTGCTGTGTTAAGAGGCTGGATGCATTAAACTAGTCACTTTACCTTCAATTTTGTTCAATAATTGTTAAAATGCTAAAAATTGAATATTAAACTTTTAAAATTATTGAATAGTATAAACTTCTTGATATTTACAAATAGTAAGGAATTTAAGCCCTAGAACCGATTAATGTATTGGCGGACTGATACTAAAGCTGGTTGCCCGGTCAGTGCAAGCGAAAACATGTTGAGGTCGGTTAAGTAAGAAGTTCGATTAAGCAATTTTTTGTTAACTTGAAGATCCTTATTGAAGGCAGTTCGTTAATGAAATTACGTTAACCGAGGTGTTAGTTAAACGAGTCATGTATATATATATATATATATATATATATATATATATATATATATATATATATATATATATATATATATTTTTTATATATATATATATATATATATATATATATATATATATATATATATATATATATATATATATATATATATATATATATATATATATATATATATATATATATATATATATATATATATATATATATATATATATATATATATATATATATATATATACTGTATATATATACACACACACACACACACACACAGTCATAGCGGTTAATGTCCTGGATCGTTCTTTGGAAACGTGGCGTTAACGAAATGGATGTTGTCGAACTCTTAAATCACTACTGTAATGTGATACAGGAGATTAATTTTTTCTCTTGTGCAAAATACATGACGTTTATATTAAAATTATTCACTGTTTTACAAGGATTCCAGCAACGCTGGGCAGATGGGGGAGAGGGAGGGAGCGAGCGAGGGGGCTTGGGGGGAGGGGAGGTAGTACATTTGACAGTTGGCACAGGCCCAGGTCTAACGTGTGTATATTTATCAGTTCTTAGGTGACTAAGCTTCTCTCTTATAAAAAGCCAGTGATATGACCTGGGTGAATATAATTAACATAGCTGGGATTCTTGTAACATACTGATTAATATGAATATAAACATGCTATAATTTGCACTAGACAAAACAATTTTAATACCGTAATCAAATTGGTACGTGTGCACTCCAGCTTTGCACTAAGAAATCTATGTAAATCTACTCAAAAATACAGTTGAAAAACTTTTTTATAAAATATACTACAGTACTGTACACTAATGTACAAAATTTTTTATCTCTTGAGCAAAATATATGATGTTTATATTCAAATTATTGGCGGTCTTGCAAGGATTCCAGCAATGCAAATTATAATCTCCTAACTGTAGTCTGAGATATTATATAAGATAAAAACTGTAAGCCTAAAAGCCTGGCTGGGGGGAGGACTGACGGCTCCGCCACCCAGCGAGGGGGAGGGGGGGTGGGGGGGTTGAGGTGATAAGTTTGAGGTGAAGGTCTCTGTGTGTTTATTTAACAGTCCTACTAAGCTTCTCTCATTTTAAAATGCCAGTGATATGACCTAGGAGAATATAATTAACATAGCTGGGATTCTTGTAAGATACTGATTAATATGAATATAAACATGTTGTAATTCGCAATAGACATAACAATTTTAGTACCGTAATCAAATTAGTACATGTGCAGTCCAGCTTTGCACTAATTTATTTTACGTTTATTTTAGTATGGTGTGTGAATGTAAATGGGTGAAAATAAATGAAGAAATTTATGTAAATCTACCCAAAAATACAGTTGAAAAACTTTTTATAAAATGTACTACAGTATTGTACACTAATGTACTAAATTTTTTATATCTTGAGCAAAATATATGACGTTTATATTCAAATTATTCGCTGTCTTGCAAGGATTTCAGCAATGCAAATTATATTATCCTAACTTTAGTCTGAGATATTATATAAAATAAACACAAAGAAATCACCAATCTTTTGTCTGGGAACACAAGGAGGGTGGGAAGAGGGGGGGAGGGGGCAGGAGGTGAGGTGACAGAATGTCTGGCGTTTGTTTGTTTATTTATTTGAGATAAGATTTGACAGTTGGTGCTGAAGACCTGCCTGCGTGTTTATTTATCATTACTTAAGAGTGACTAAGCTCTTCTCATAATTTGCCACCCAAACGACCTGGGTGAATATAACTAACATTGGAGGGATTCTTGTAAGATAGTAATTTATTTGAATGTTTTTTTTTCAATTTCAATTTAAATTTTAATTGTTTATTCCTTGATAGAGGAAGCGGGATCCTAGTGCTGTCACTTGGTACCCCTGTACCATAACACCAGAAGTAACAGTGTTACAAGTATATACAGTCATCCCTTGGTTATCGCGCCTAATTGGAACCCCGCCGATAACGAAAGTACAAAACCTATGGGATTTATTCTAATTGGTTCCAGGCACCCAAGACCCAACCCCAAGTTTCCCATTTTACGACCATTTATACCCACTCAACATATATATAATGTTATGGTAAATATCATAAACACACATAGGCATGGCTAGGTTTATTACAAAGTGATGAAAAGGGTACACTTAATACTGTAGTCCACAAAACATGTAGCTATGGTTTTTTTATTTGGTCCTCCGTCATACGAGTCCGTTTTCTGTCACATCAGGATGCCTGAGTCCTCCGTTTTCTCTCTTAATCTTAGAGTGCACCAGAAACTTTACTCTTTTTAGTAATGCCACAGAATTTGAAATTGCAACCCCAATTGCAACTTGCAATTGTTGAGGCAACTAGATATGTCTGATTACAGCAAATGTGTTATTGTCAATTTGTAGGTGAAAGATTTTATCCTCAATAGATGTAGGTTAACATTTCACCTGTAGGCAAATGCTTAGAAAAGCCTAAGTAAGGAAGCATATTCCTTTAACACATAATATCTGACCAGTATGGGGAGGATCATCGTGTCTCCGTCAGGGGGTCGTGGAGTTGTGGTCCAGCAGGCGTCACATGTTTTTTTTTGAGGGGGGGGGGCCACGGACGTATATGCGATCGGACGTTGTTCGGTCGGACGTTAACCAGTGCATGACTGTATATAAACTGAACCTCATGTTAGCCATAAGAACTTAGCTCGTGTAAGGTTTAATTTTTATTTATCTTTTCTTATTTTCATATCAAACCTTACAAGATTTGTAGGACTAGAGGCCTTCAGTAAAATTTTACAGTATGTTTTAAATAGATGACATTTCTTGTCTACTTGACTACACAGAAACCATTGAGGGTTTTTTTTTGTGGAGATTAAAAGATAAATAAGACAGGAATTTGCTTTGAATGTTTCAATCCTTAAAGTAAAAAAATATCTACCTGGTGACCACAGATGTATTGTTTATTATTATAACATCTTCAGGTTTTGTTTAACAGTATACCAAGCTTTCCTGTTACTTTAGATCTGTGCTATTCAACCTGGGTGGACAAGATTTTGTTTGGGGTGGATGAAGGGGTGGACGAGATTTGAAAGGATGGCGACACGTGTGAATGTGTGTGTTGCCTGCATTCTTTCTATGGAAGCATGACACCGCTCATAATATTTGAAACGCCAACCAATGAGAAAACAGTGCTAGGAGGTGGATTCAGTTTCAAATTTTGAAGTCAGTGCCCAGTTGACTGTCGTGGAAAGAGTAGGTAAGGTAGCGTTTCACTCGATTTTTCATGGCTTGTGTTTATATACCATGAAGCTGGACAAAACAACAGATGTGGGAGGGGAAGTGCAGTTGATTGTGTACTGTCACTTTCCAGATTTAGAGTTTAAGATCATAGTTAACACTATTTATGCTGCCTCCATTTGGGGGTTGAAACAGCAGAGGACATTTTCCAGAAACTTAATTATTTTATGATTGAAGAGGGCATTGAATGGTCGAAAGTAATATCCCGTCACTACAGATGGTGCAAGGGCAGTGATTGGAGCAATCAATGGTGTTGGGGTAAAAATTCAAGCCGTATCACCTAACTGTGTTTCAATAAACTGTGTGATTCACCAAGAGGCCCTTGTTGCTAAGTGACTGAAAGAGACTGGAACAGCCAGTGAGAAGAATGATTTTGAGCTCCTTCTCGAGGACATCATCAAAATGGTGAATTGTATCCTGACCCGTGCAAAAAGCACAGCATGTTCAGTGGGTTGTGCAAAGATATGGAAGCCAACCTCACCACGCTGCTCTTTCATGCCGAGGCGTGGTGGTTATCCCGTGGGAAGGTTCTGAACAGAGTGCTTGCACTGAGAGAACAGTTGTGTGTTTTCTTCACAGAGGAAGCAAACCCCATGGAAGTTAAATGTCAGGATTACTTTTGGCTGGCAAAGTTGTCATACATGGCCTCAGTTTTTTATCATTTGAGAAGGTAGGGATATTTTCACAGAAGTGGGAAAAATAAATGGATTCTAACCGAAGGTGCAAAAGTGGAGAGCCAACATAGAAAAGAACAATTTGTCTGATTTTCCAACTTTTTAAGTTTCATCACTAGGGGTGGATGACATCAAAAAAGGTTGAATAGCACTGCCTTAGATGGTGTGTAATTACTTTAATAATTCCAGATGCTCTGGACTGCATCTCAGAATATCAAGATTGCACAATCTGCCTTCTGTCTTCTTTTTTTCCATTTTCTCTAACATGTTTTATTTACTTTCAGCTCGCAATAATATCCAGCATCTCACCGTATCTAACTTTGATTTGTGAAGTGAAAAGTAGACATGATCATCCTGCCCAAAAAATAAAGGTTAGTTTGATCCAGACAGGACCACTGTTCTAGCCACATACAAAGATATAAAGTTACTCTAAATTATTTCAAAAACAGCATGTCATATATTTAATAACACAGTACTGCTTGTGAATACTGTATAATTATACAATGTTTCACGGGTTATATAATGTTAAATGTAAAAGGAAACTCATCCTTTTCCCCCAACAATGAATAAAATTTTCTGTTTGTAATATTAGTAATATATTGTATACTGTAATCAGAAATAATGTGTATCTTACCAAGAATATATTTTTGCAGTGTTTCAGTGACTGTGTAGATAAGAAATATTGTATGAGATTATTTAAAATGTGTTAGTGTTGTAATTTGTAGATTTTTCTTTGTAATCCTGGTACATTTGTAATTTTACCTTCCTTTGAAGAGGTCATTACAGGTATACTGTAATTATGATATACAGGGTATAACTGAGTTTTTAAAGCATCTTATATACTGCATATATAATCTTTGCATTATCTTATCTTTCATTTAGAAGATATCTCCCATTTCTCCTACTAGCAAACAGCTCTTTAATCTGTTACTGTTTTTCACTTTTTGAGGAACCAACAAGGATAAAATCTACTCATGAAATGTCTTCCTCATTAAATAAGCCTTCTTATCTTCATTCCATTGTTGTTGTCTGCTAAGAGGAGATGTCGGGTAAAATCTGTCAAGGGAGACGACTTTTATGCTTTTTTTTTATGTGAATCCAGTTTCTATGCATGCAGTTGATGACGTGCTAGGCTGTGTGATTTGTTGTGTACAGTGTACTCTCGATTTAACGGAATCACATATAAAAAACTTGATTTAGCGGAAGGAATTTTTTCCGTTATTTTTCACTTGATTTAGTGAACTAGTTCACTAAATTTTAGATTAATTGCGTTAATATGCTCACACCTATGGAGACACCTCAGACACATGATATGCACATAGAAACATTATTCATGGCTTATCTTAAACTAGGGGGTTCGGTGTTTGTTTTCAATTTTTACTATACTGTACCTGCAATTTCCAAACCTTTTTCCAATTGATAGCTGTACTCTTTTGACTTTCTCTCCCACACCAGTTCCTTTCTGAGACTTCTGAGAGACTTTCGACATGATGCCTAAGCACAGTAGTCAGTTGACCGAGAGGTAGCAGTGGACAACACATGCGGTGGCGGCAGGACACAGACTGAGCAGATGTAAACAAATCCCATGCACCAAGCAGCGCATTTGGCTTGGAATTTAATGGAATGATTTTCAATTTAGCAAACTAGTTCATTAAATTTAGCAAAATTAGCGGAAATTTCGATTTAACAGAAAGGGGTGGCTCAAATTAGTTTGTTAAATCAAGAAAATACTGTATTACTCCTTGTGTTTGGCATGGAAAATGTCCGTAAAATAATGGGGATGATGAGGGAGGAATGATTTGTGATGAAATTCCTTCCTTTAAATTCCATGTGCTAAATGGTATTTTTGTGAGGAGGAGTCTCTATCATAGATTAGAACACAGTTCTATTTACAAAAATACTGGTGTGACCAAATATCACAATCTTGATAGCAACATCTGACCACAGCTCACCTCCCGTCACCTACATGCTATGTACAGTATGTTATGAATTTGGGGAATGTCTTGCCACCAGTAAGTTATTACCCCAGAACTGAGGTGCATATGCTTTGAAGGTGGCTTGAAATATACCTGTGTGATAGGGAGGCAGACCTAGCTGTAAAATTATGGAAATTAGTCTGCAATTTATTGCCTGGATGGGTTATTCACTAAACTCTGCATGATAGAAATTTACTGTCTTGAGAATGTTTGAGTTAAAGTAAATGTGCAGGTTGTCCCTGATTTACGAAGGTTCTGTTTACGAAAATTAAAAGTTATGAAAAATTTAACTTCTCCAATGATTAAACTTATTAGCACTCTCAGGATCACCTGAAATTTATATAACGAGGCTGTCACAGGATCACTTTTCCGTCTTCAAAATGACCAGAAATCGCAGAGATTTTTTTTCCTGAGCACTATTCGTGACTACGATATATTCAAATATTTATTCAAATGATGCCTTTCTGTGTAAAAAAAGGCTGGGAAATCATATGAAACCCTCAAAAATATAATAAAATAAAATAATAAATCGAAGCCATTTTGACAAGTATAAGTGAAAAGTGAGTTTACTGTTGATTCCTCTTGGCACTGTACCCACATCATTGCATCAGTCAGTATAAAATGCATGGCAAGAAAGAGCAAATACGAGAAAGATGTGGTGTAATCAGAAAAAAATATAATGTAAAAAGTAACAGTTACAGAATAAAAAATAAAAATAATGTTTAGACTTTTTTTTCTTGCTATTTTTTTTTTTTTCTAAATCTTTTGAAAGTTTTTATGATGGATTCTTACTGTACACTTACTAAGGAAGAGAATTACAGCAGTTAAAAGGTTCTGTTACAAAAACTAAACTTTTAGCAATAATATTTCCACTTACCACTTAGACGTTCCTGTTGCTTTGTGGAGACAATGTACGTGGAGGGGGAATGTGTGTGCCTGGTTGCAAGAGTCACGTAAGTTATTTTGTGCTTGGATGAACATGTAAGGTGGAAAGGTAGATTGGGAAAGGATGGGAGAAGGGGGAAAGGATGGTGTGAGGAGGGAAAACCTCACAACCAGTACTGTCTTTTGATATGGTAAAGAGAAAAGTGCCCAAGCACATGTACTGTATATGGTGTGCACACCACATATGTACTGTACTGGGTATCCTTCTGTGTGCCCTTATTTATGCACAATCGGCATCTCTTCTTCTGGTTGTGCTTCACTTTGACAGTGGTATGGTGCAGTGTGTTATTAAGCCGAGCATCAGTGTCAGGCACCAATCTTGCCTTCTTTGTAATCCTAGACAGGTGTACCCCTGGATATACACCTTTAGATGTGGACCAGGGTGTACAACACCCCATATAAAAAAAGTAATAAAAAAAAAAGTAATCCAATTTGTGTATGCCCGCCATCTTATAGATTAGCCTTTTCTGCAGGCCTTTCATACCTCAAACATCAACAAATATGTTACAAGGTATAAGTAAAATTTAATTTTTGGAAAAAAGGTTTCTCATCTTTCACATTTTCTGTAGCAAAACCTTGCTATCAAATTTCAAGCTATTTCATATGCAGCTGAGATAATGGATATAAGTACTTTAGGGGAAAAATAAGTGTCATAGGGCCAGTAGTTTATTCAGGTCAGGTCATTGAATTTGAGGGGGAAAATAGTGAAAAATGGCACATAAAAATTACGTATTGCAAGACTGCTGAAAACACACAAATAAAGAAACCAAGGATATTATACGAGGTAGCACAACTTCACAGACACTTTACATGTCCAGCCATCTCACTCATCTACGTATTTGCAGTCCAAACATGTCACAAATGAATGGTGAAGACGAACTGGCTTATAGCACGTGCTGCACACATTTTTTGTTTTTCTTTCTTTTATGGTGCGCTGTTGTCACAATGCTTCTGCTTTTCCAGAAATCCAGTGACAGGGTTAGGTGTGACTGTGAGATTCATGTTGAAGGCCTCCCTGATGGCAGCCTTCACACTGTTCCTCATATTTTCTTGATGAAGACGCTTCTAAGCCCATGGTCTAATAAGTTTACCTCCTAGAGCAGTCGTGAACTTGTACCGGTTCATCGGTAGTTATTGCCTTGTTGCCCTGTTCCCACAGTGAATGACCCAGGCATTCAGTGTTATGCCATGAAATAGACATATGGGCCAACACCTGGTCTTACTACTGCAGGAATACTTTTACAATGTGGTACTTCTCTATTTCATTGTGCTTCCATACCTTCACTTTGCTTTGAGCCTTCCTAACTCTTCTCTGTTCACTGTTCTTACATAACCTTCACTATAGGCTTCTCTAACTTCACTGTGCTTCCCTATCTTAAACTTTTCTTCCCTACAAACATTAACAGTGGCACTGCCCGTGGAAATTATCAAATTGTCAAATCAGTTGTAGTAAATTAATTACCTGTACTACAATTTCCTGACAACTAGCATTAAAGCTTACCTTCATGAAGTATGAATGTCCAAGTAAAAGAGAGAAAAAAGCAAACAAAGTTTTCACACAAACAAAAGATGGAGTATGAGCCAGGGAGACTGAGGCCTGTGGATGGAGTGGCTCCATACTGACAATGTATCCTTAAAGGAGTAAAAGAATCCCTATAGATGAACAGGTACTGTATGAGTAGCATCTCTCTCTCTCTCTCATTTACAAATTACAGTTGAAAATATGCTAACTATTTCCCTCATTTTTTTTCCTCCAAACAGGGGGGGGGGGGGCAAACTGCCTCCTGCCCCCTAGTAGGTCCGACAGTGTCCTGAAGCGGATTCCAAATTGGTTAAGGTTAATTCATATGAGCGTTGTTTCTCTTTTCCTGCTAATATAATTCTTGACGTTTAGTCTCCCGCTCTGCTACACGTTCTTTGCAAGCTATGGCATCCTTATATCTCTGCTCTTCTCTGTCTATTAACTGTGAAATATCCTCTGCCGATAGACCAGCATCTTCCCCAGCCTTCATTAAACTATATACATCAGTTTTAGGTCCTTCCATATCTTAAGAGTAACAAAATCTCAAGAGTAACAAACAAAATTAAGAATGAAGTAAAAATTTTATTTCAATTCTGCGAGGTAAAAATTAATGGATAAATCCATCACACCTGCACGAAAATACAACAGGGCAGCCACAGCACCATCACTGATCACCCGACCATCTCAAACAATGGAACCACAAGCACGTGAAGAACTAATGCCATCACCTATCCGTATCTGCGACAGGCGTAATGGATATAACAGTCCACTACACTTGTGCAATAGAATTTTTTTTTTTTTTACGGGAATTAGCCCACCGGGCACAAGTCAAACGACCCACAACGGAGCCTGAGGCGAAAAAAAAAACGGAAAGAAATTGAAAATATAGAAAAAAAGGTTATACAGGTTGTACCTCTCTAGTCCGGCATTCTGTGGTCCGGAAACTCCCGTGGTCCGGAACGATTTTAGTTTGTCCAATAGGTAGATAGGCAGCTTTTTTTTTTTTTTTTATCTGAATTATTATTATTATTACAGGAGTATTAAATTTTTGCCCCTCAGGCCCCAATGTGGGTCAGTGACCTATGCCCGGGTGGGCTAATCCCCTTAAAAAAAAAAAAAAAAAGCCGCGGGAAATTAAGGTTTGTTTACATCCGGCAGTTCGGCTGCTCTCTCTCTCTCTGCTTGTCTATACAGAGTACAACATTTAACCCTTCAATATATATGAGCAGTAAATAAGTGTTGCTTTCATATTCTTATGTAGAGTAATGACGATATATTTTCACATGTGCGCACTTACATACGAGCAGTCTCACTTTTTTTTTACCATTAATGGTTAGCTACTTATATTGTTCCATTTATTAACATTAAATAACATTACAGGTACTTCAAGCAACCATATTCATTTTTTACATTAATTTTACTACAGCTAAACTCAGGGTCTTATTTTCCTCAGTTTTATATGTAGAACCAATCAGTCACTGGTTTCGTAAGCTTTAACATAAACAATGCCGGCAGCGGTCTCGTCTCCTCTAATATTCCACGTATTATTAATAAATTGTATTGTTAATTTTGCACACACGTACATTAATTCAATAAAAGCAAATTCAGAAACATTAATTAAAATATATATGAACAGTAAATAAGTGTTGCTTTCATATTCTTATGTAAAGTAATGACGATATGTTTTCACGTGTGCGCATGCGCACTTACATATGCGATCTCTCTTTTTCTTTACCATTATCGTTAGCTACTTCTATTGTTCCATTTATTAACATTAAATAACATTACTTAAAACAACCATATTAATTTTACTACAGCTACAACCAAGGTCTTATTTTCTTCAGTTTTATATGTAGAACCAGTCAGTCACTGGTTTTGTAATCAACGAAAACAATGCTGTGTCATTTCCTCATGTGTTTTAATTTTCTACGTATTATTAATGAATTGTATTGCTCATTTTGCACACATAAACATTAATTCAATAAAAAAGACATTCAGTAATAAACAATAATGAATCTTTTGTACATAAGAGAAATGACGCTGTTTACACGATTATGCACGTCGTCTGCACGTTGGCGGGCCGTTCAAACCCGTCGAAATTCAAGTTTCCGCCGTCAAAATTTTTATTTATTTATTTTTTTGTGTGTTCCAATAAAATACGTTAAGAATTAAAAACTCGCGAAATTTGAGAAGCTACTATACGACATTTAACCCTTCAATATGTCTTCAAAGAGACCATGACGCAGAGAAAGTGGTGCTAGTGCTTCCAGGCATAAGCACAAGTCACTATCTATCCAGGGAAAGGGTGAATTTCCATGGTCCGGCAATTTCCATGGTCCGGCACCGGTCAGGTCCCGAGGTTGCCGGACTAGAGAGGTACAACCTGTACTGTATTAATCTACACCACGAAGATGCCGGAAAACCAGCTTTTTAAAGTGAGACAGATTGTAAGAGCATGGAAACACAGAAGAATGCAGAGCATTCCACAATTTGGCTGTGTGAGGAAAGAAGGAGGTACTATAACGGGTTATTCTCGTGTGACCGACATCCACAGAGAAATGGTGGGCACCGCGGACAAGACGTGTGTTACGAACCCACGGCCTTGCCGGCGGTACACAGGATGCCAAATCCACTGAACATTGCCCGTTAAAGTACCTGTAAAAGAGAGAGAGTGAAGCAACAATGCGGCGAAGAGAAAGGGGAGAGAGATTGTCGACTAAAGGAGGAGAGTTAATAAGACAAAATACCTTTGATTGCTCCCTATCTAATAGTTGGACAGAAGAAGAGCCACCCCAGATATGAGAAAAGTTATCCAAGTTAGGACGAATGAATCCCTTATATACTTGGAGCAACTGCTCAGGAGTGAAGTAGCTGCGGCATCTGTACAGCATTCCCAACTTTCGGGAGGCAGCTTTAGTTATACTAAAGATGTGTGATTTCCAGGACATATTGGAGGAAATGGTGAGGCCTAACATATTTATTACAGAATTTGGGAGGATGATAGCTCCCTGAAATGTAATTGGTGGGAGATCGTCTAATTTACAAAGTGTAATTGGTAAATATTGAGTTTTGTTACTATTGAACTTAACCAAGTTTGTATCTCCCCATTCAGAGATGCTGCACAGATCCGCGTTGATAGAAGTAATGATATCAGTTCTAGAAACAGATCTAGTTTGAGAGTTAGGAGGAAGGGGAAAATGTGAGGAAGAGTGAAGAGTAGAATCATTGGCGTAAGAATAGATAGAATTAGTTG